GTACAGCTGTAAACATCTTTCACTCAAATTAACATGATGTTCTCAGAAATTAATCCTCGATTAATCAGTGTCAACTCAGTTTATTGCCTATTACGGTGATTGACCGCTTGGACTATCATGTAGGTATGATGTATTTACAGCACTCAAAACAAACCAACTTGTCAGTGTAGATAATCTTCATTGTGTTACAACTGCAGACAGAAACTGCTCAGTCCTAACTGTTGATCATTTCCGGTCAAAATTTAAGAATGTCCGGACACTACTTTTTAAAATGTCCGGACAGAAAAATTTAAATGTACGGTAAGCAATATTTTAAACCGGACATCTGAGATTCCCAATCGGACATGTCCGAGGCATATGACGATTTCCGGACCCCTGGTTGGTGAGTTGCATTACAGTGTAATGCTATGACACAATGTTCTGTGAGTGAGTTGCATCGCTGTGTAATGTTATTACACAATGTTCTGTGAGTTAATTGCATCACTGTGTAATGTTATTACACAATGTTCTGTTGGTGAGTTGCATCACAGTGTAATGTTAATACACAATGTTATGTTTGTGAGTTGCATCACTGTGTAATGTTAATACAAAATGTTCTGTGAGTGTGTTGCATCACTGTGTAATGTTCTGTGAGTGAGTTGCATCACTGTGTAATGTTATTACAAAATGTTTCTGTGAGTGAGTTGCATCACAGTGTAATGTTAATACACAATGTTCTGTTGGTGACTTTGCATCACAGTGTAATGCTATGACACAATGTTCTGTGAGTGAGTTGCATCACTGTGTAATGTTAATGCACAATGTTCTGTGAGTGTGTTGCATCACTGTGTAATGTTCTGTGAGTGAGTTGCATCACTGTGTAATGTTCTGTGAGTGAGTTGCATCACAGTGTAATGTTCTGTGAGTGAGTTGCATCACTGTGTAATGTTAAAACACAATGTTCTGTGAGTGAGTTGCATCACTGTGTAATGTTAATGCACAATGTTCTGTGAGTGAGTTGCATCACTGTGTAATGTTCTGTGAGTGAGTTGCATCACTGTGTAATGTTAAAACACAATGTTCTGTGAGTGAGTTGCATCACTGTGTAATGTTAATGCACAATGTTCTGTGAGTGAGTTGCATCACAGTGTAATGTTCTGTGAGTGAGTTGCATCACTGTGTAATGTTCTGTGAGTGTGTTGCATCACTGTGTAATGTTAATACACAATGTTCTGTGAGTGAGTTGCATCACAGTGTAAGGTTAATACACAATTTTCTGTGAGTGAGTTGCATCGCTGTGTAATGTTATAACACAATGTTCTGTGAGTGTGTTGCATCACAGTGTAATGTTAAAACACAATGTTCTGTGAGTGTGTTGCATCACAGTGTAATGTTCTGTGAGTGAGTTGCATCACTGTGTAATGTTAAAACACAATGTTCTGTGAGTGTGTTGCATCACAGTGTAATGTTCTGTGAGTGAGTTGCATCGCTGTGTAATGTTAAAACACAATGTTCTGTGAGTGAGTTGCATCGCTGTGTAATGTTAAAACACAATGTTCTGTGAGTGAGTTGCATCGCTGTGTAATGTTAAAACACAATGTTCTGTGAGTGAGTTGCATCACAGTGTAATGTTAAAACACAATGTTCTGTGAGTGTGTTGCATCACAGTGTAATGTTCTGTGAGTGAGTTGCATCACAGTGTAAGGTTAATACACAATTTTCTGTGAGTGAGTTGCATCGCTGTGTAATGTTATTACACAATGTGCTGTTGTAATTTGTATTTTGAACCTTAAAAAGAACACACCCAACATTGTTGTTTTATGTTAGAGAAATGTAAATAAAGCGAGATCCAATAGAAATCTCTGACTATATCATTAGCAAATGTTTATGAATCACTATCAAATAGGGATGATAACAGATGTTCGCGAAAGGGCGAGCATATCCTGGCCCCCAGGTGGCACCATCACAAACAAAGGCAAGTCAAGTGTTCACCTGAAAAAAACACGGGAACATATGATACAAGTCAAAATAGGGAATTGCATTAGACATCAATTTTGATACTGATGCGTCAGATTTGGATGTCTACCATAAAACTTTTTGAAAGCTTTACTGAGGCCTTGAATGTTCTAACCATGATCGAACAACTTCTGAACAAGAGTTGTATGACGCTGTTTGAAATCTTGAAAGAAAGAGCATTTTTGATTGTATCTCAAAAGTTGTGAAATGTAAACACAAAAAATTGGAGGTGCAGGAATATTGCTCAACATGAAGGGAAGTTGACTATTGGAAAGTTGAAGTCATCCCTCTTGTCATACAGTTTTGTGGAGAGTGTTTTGTCACTCTGAATCTTTATGCCTAGATCTAAATATGAAACAGATGAGGTGGTCTCACTGGTCTCCTTTATTTCTGGTTCAAGTGGGTAAATCTGTGGAAGGAATTGGCTATTTGATTATTATTGAACTATGTCAGATCATTTATATACCTTAAGCTTAAGTTAAACATTGCCAATCCAAGCAGAAATTCCGATTCATATGCATAAAGAGACAGATCCACAAGACCAGGAGCACAATTAGTGCACATGGGGATGCGTACTTCTTGCCTAAATGTCTTACGAAATTTTACGAAGATGTTATCAATGAGGAAGTCCAGCATTTCACATTTTGTTTTCTCAGTAAATTTCAGATGGCATTTGCTTTATTTTTTAACAAATTGTCCTGAACCTCTGAATCTATGGTCACCACTTTTTGTAACAAAAGCCCCACAGATCAAGAAATTAAGTTTTTCCCAAGTTTGTCATGTGGGATAGTGGTGTTCAAAGTTGAAAATCAAATGTATTGACAGAAAGGAACTTGATCTTTTCTGAGAATGCAAAAAGTCACGTAAATCCTTTGGGATTTTGAGAATCCACATTGCATTAATTACACTTGGCCTTCTACTTTCTGTGAACATAAAGAAAGTCCTTCCTTGATTGTATTAAGGCTTATGGTTAATCGTTGAAACAGGGATTTGGTGGTACATTTGCTGGACCCAGCAATATATCTCTCTTTGTATGGATGGTTATGGAGCTTTGGAATCCACTACAAAAGAGGAACGGACATGTCAAAAGCTGACATTACTGATGCATGGTTTGGGCAGATGTCTTCCTCAGTTAACATACTGGCCTTATATGTGGCATTATTTGAAATGTTATTTATGCCAAGTTCTTTGATAAAAAAATATATGTAGTGATGCTTACATAAAATGGTTATGTTATTTGAGGCCTTGTCAGTGGGAACAACTGCAACCTTTTCATGTAGGGCAGCCAGACTTTGGATGACAGCTGGCTGGGACAGAATGGGTTTATTAAATTTAAATTTTTAATTAAGGCATCAATTCCCTTGTTTGCCAATTTCATTAAAATCAGTTCTTAGTTCTCGCTATCACTGAACAAAGATCTGAGGACATCCCATTACGGGTCACGTCAGACCCACTTGCGCGAACTTTGACCGACCAATGGAATGACCAATCAGAAGGCAGCTTTCTTGTGCTTTACGGCAAAAATTTCAAATTGGCGACTACGCTTCGAAACATATTTTGACAAATTCTCGATTACAAATTTGAAACCTGAACAAAAAAACATTCTGGAATGGTAAATGGATGGTCTAGATTGTAAGGATTTAGTTGTTAAACCCATAACTATCGTTCGGAATACCCCATGTTAAAGTTTTCAAGATTGCGTGATTAGAAATCACATTCTGACTGTCACTTTCATAATCTGGTAAGCGACACACTGATACGTCGGATGAAAGGTCGTTCTGACGTGACCCTTAATGGGATGTCTTAAGATCTTTGTTAAGCGGTAGCGTGAACTAAGGTCTGATTTTAATGATATTGCTTGTTTGCAAATTTCAAAATAAAAAAAATGCGGTCATTGTCTTATTTAGTTGAGTCTATTTTTGAATTGGCCAAACGTTTCAAAGCAATATCAAGAACTATACTCTCTAGTTGATACTGTGGGCGTTACTGTCTGTGACTCACCCATCAGCAAAGGTTACTAGAGTCATTTAATTTCTTTTAATGACACAGAGTATAGTCTTGTTCTTACTTTGTGCAGTTTCAATGGTTCCTGAAGGAGAGGCAACAAATCTTCCAAATGAATGGTATGATTTAGTCTTCAAGCTTTTTGTGACCGTGGCTGCATCTTTGGGATGCCGGAAACAGACTCAATATACTGACGTTGGGAGTTCTTTGGTCAAACAGACTGTCATCTTCTTATATTTTGTCATTTCATCCATATGGCATTGCTGTACACAACAGTCAATTTCAATTATTTTCTCTGGATATTCTATAAGGTCGACTGCATTTAAGGCTATTGGAGGGATGGTATATTTTCTCCCATATCCTAACTTTCATGCAAAAGACTGAGTGTTTTCTTAATTGAAATGTTGGTGGACACAATTGGAAACATTTCTGTTGATGCCTGATCTGTGCTGGCTGACACATGTTGATTATTTCTGTTGTGTCTCTCACATTTAAATCAACCCACAAAGGGTACATTCAATGCCATATATGATGTTTTTAGTTTGACATGATAGATCTTCAAAAGTTTTAGTGCAGTATGTTTTAGCTGTAAAGTTGAATTCAGGATCAGTTATATAGGACAAGTTATGCAAATGTTTGGTACCACATGATGAAATACGGCATGGAGATGGGTTGGAAAGAAAAATGTCCTTCAACTTTACTGCACATTTTTAATGATGTTTGCAAATGAATCTTCATTTTTGAAATAGAAGCGGCCCTCATGTTGAACATATGTCGATTTTTATGTGTGAATCTATAGATCCATGTCAAAGTTAAAGATGACGGGATGGTTTAGCTCCTCAAGATCTGTTGAGCAATTACAAACATGTTGGTTGCAATGAAGGCATATGGCATGGCATAAAAGCTGTCATCAATGACAAATTACATTTTTATGTTTAGCCCAACAAAGATGCATTATCAACCAGAGAATATCCTATGCAAGAAAAGTAACTATTACTAACCTTTCACAAGCTCGAAGAAGCCAGCTTGCTATTATCCATAGAGACAGCATAAATACAAGAAGAACAGTTCCAGGACATATGGTCATAAGTGTCTTCAACACAAACTTGGTATCAAAATTAATCCTGTTCAAAGCTCCTATGCTTCGAGAAGATGCATCAGTAAACAACTTGCTGTGCAACAACATAACTCTACAAATAAGGTATAGACGAAGGTACATTGGAATAGAAAGCACAATATCAACTGGAACAACAGTGTGCTGGGCGTCACGATGATCAGTTTTTGGCGTTGTCCATACAAAGGTAAAGTTGCCTGGAATGGGATGCACTGCACATATGACAATTTCCACCGTAAGCTGGATTGTTCTCCTCCAGGAAATTGCTATTCTCCAATCCTCAACACAGTTGTCCACTGCAAATAACTGGAAAAAAAAACACCACCTACTATAAGTATGCATGAATTATGAACAATGGCCATTGTTATATGAATACAACTAGTATTTTAATCAGAACAGTATATCACAGGAAATAGTATTAGTATTACATTAATAAAGTTTCATTCTTAATCAGTCATTAGTTCTCTGAGTCATTTGAACTACAATAATATAATAAGCTGCTCAAATTTGAATAATTGTTAAAGAAGATCTTTCAAGTAGAAGTAGGAACAAGTCTATAAAATATGAAATCACTCTGAAGAATATAGTAAAGATAATATATCAGCTGGGTTACAATTATGTTATTTCTTAAGAAAGCTGTTATATATATATATATATATATATATATATATATATATATATATATATATATATATATATATATATGCCCACACCACTCATAAAGCTCTGTTATGGTGAAAACACATTCAAACCAACAGGGAAAGGGGACACAAACAGGTGGTAAGGAAAGAAATGTTCTAAATAACATCATAAAGAACATACAAGGGTTATGGCTTTCACATCTACATTCCTGTCTTATGTGTCTTTCAAACAGTTAATAATTCATTTGTGGTGCATGTAAGCTTTCATACACCTAGTTCACATGACATTTGACATGGATGTCTGTCTCTGTGTATGTGTGTGCAAGAGTGCCTGCATGAGATCAATGTACATTATCAATGAAGAATGAAACCAGAAACAACTGATGCATTGCAAATCCCATCAGCACAGAATACAGGGTCAAACTATATGTACCATTCTGAATTCTAATGGAAAATACAACATGCATGGTGCACAATATATTACCTGAGACATATGATATTAACTTACAAAGTACATCAAGCGCTGATACAGGTTATTGGAAAAGGAGGGGCACACCTTCAGATCACAAGTTACCGGTACCATTATGCTTGAAGAATATTTCATTTGTTTGTTAGATGTGTTATTGTTAAAACGTATAACCAAATGAGTTAGTAACAGTGTTGTCACACACGTACACTTAGTATACCCTGTCACCTAGTAAATTGCTTTACCGGTAATGCAATGTTGCCACATATCTGAGAAGCTGCTTGAACTGTGGCTAAAGATATGGATTCCCACATGCAGCCCAAAGTTAGATCATCTTTTTTAATTTCAAGGTAGTTGAATGAAATATGAGAAGACAATTAAATGTAAGTTGCCAAATTTATTTTGGCCTCCCTGTAGAATTTCAGCTAAATTTTCCAATGAAAATGAATAAATGCTGTATCATCAAAACTAAATGAAAGTAGGTACTGTAGAAAGATAAAGATTTATTGTCCAATCAGTCACCAGCCTGCACATGAACTATAAACAGAACACTGCACAAGTCATATGTGCATAGAAAAACTAGAATGGTGATCTCAGGAAACTGTCACCATCATGGTTAGAATTTTCAATAAAAATATCCAGTTATCATAATTAACATACTGTCAAGATCTCTGTTAAAGTGTTTGTATTTTACACAGAAGCAAAAGCAACCCGACTGCATTCTTTCTTCTGCCATGGCAAAATACCTGTACTCAGTGTACAGCTAAACAGATCCCTATAGATCAAGTCGGCTAAGTGAGTTAAGCTCATACACACAATATCAGGGATTGGTAGTTCAAGGTGACCTGTGTCACTTAGCCTATATTGCTAGCAGCAACTGGTCTGGGGTTTCAGTTTCTTTATATGTTGTTTAATGCTGCTATAATATGGCAGTCTGTACATAATCTGACAATCCAGTGACTGACATCGTGAGCATCAATCTACACAACTGAGATACGATAACATGCATCAACCAAGTCAACAAGCCAGACTACCCAATCCCGTTAGTCGCCTTTTACGGCCCAGCATGGGTTGCTGAAGACCTATTCTAACCCAGATCTTCACAGGTCCTAGTGTTTGAGATCTAGATTAGTTTCAGTCAGGATCTTTGATCTGTCAGCCATCACTTTTCTTGGGTTTCACCCAAGAAAAGTGTCAGACAAAAAAACAAAATCAGACCTATCCCCTCCTTTTCCTGAATTCCCCAAAACATCCCACCAGAAACATGCATCATGTTACGAAATCAGACGACATTTGAAGAATGTAGTACATCTTGGAAGAATGTAGTACAACTTGGAAGAATGTAGTACAACTTGGAAGAATGTAGTACAACTTGGAAACAGAAAGTTATATGTCTCTAACATAACAAAGAAAATTTAGACATTTCTGTTTTAAAGACCTTGACATTCAAATCTCGACCAAGAGCTGACAGAAAACTTTTAAATTGAAAGCATATGTAGCACACTATAACACAGTCTGTTTGCAAGTTTTTCAATGTATGAATGACCTTGACATAACCTTGAACAATGGCAAGTTCAGAAGAAAGTGCTTGCATTTCATGTTTTGACAACAAAGTTTCTGGTGACCAATCACTTTTATTGCAGGTGATCAAGAATATTCTAAAAAAAAGATCTCACCCAAGAGATCTTTTCTGCCCATTATGTGACCTTGAAATTGAAATATCATCCATTTCATGCAATTGGAAAATTTTCTGATTTTTCATGAAATAATTTGCAATTTCCTTAAATTTGAGTCATGTTTCATAACCTCACAGGGGGGCTTCTCAAATAGTGCTCCTGCACTGTAGCTCACCTGGATAACAGTATTAAATGTCAACAAAAACTGCCACTTAACAAGATTTGCTCCACACAATTACATTCCAATACCTTGTGGTAATATTGAGAAGGAAAGTATCCACACAAATGTAAACAGCATCAAATTTCAACAATATTTTGTAATTTCAACAATGAATGCAGTTGGAAAAAACATTGTCGCAATTAAGAACAGTCAAATATTAATGCAACACAAAGTTTGCATGCAATTGTTTCAAATCGTTTTATGAAAAATAAAGTTTCCATTTTGATGCCTTCCATAAACTAACTTCTGTAATGTTGGCAAATATTGACATAAAGTATCAGAAAACATCCAGTCTGACGTATCTGACAAACACATTCAGACTAGAAATGTCTGAAATGTTCCATCCCATGCAAATATGGGACCAGACCCATCACCACCTTTTCTCTCATTTGGACCAAAAGCTTTATATATTGAAAATCTTATACCAAGATCAGTGATATAAAAATTATACCTTAAGAGAAAATGTAACCAAAAGCTTCAGTGAGAAATTTTTAAATAGTAACCTTAACATCTGATCTTATGACAGCACTTATAATCATTCTCATGTTTCCATTGTCTATATGCTTTCAGACAAGTTGTTGCATAAAGTTGAATTATTAATAATTAAGGGCGCAACAAAAATGTAGAGGTCATGTCAAGGTCAAAATTCATATCGCCACAAAAACAAAATAAGATATATGTTAGGCGCCACTACTAACTGCAGATACACCTAATTTTGTTTTATTTGGTTAAAAGATGGCCAAGATATGGTCTTCAATGGGGTTTTTTAAAAATAAGGCTGCTGTTGTGGAACCTGTTCAAATAATGGAGGTGTCTTCATTGGTAGAATGTTGTTTCAGCTTCATTGGTCCAGTGGACAAGCAGGTCATGACATGAGCTGACTTCAGTCAGTTGAGCTAAAACCGATGCAGACCCATCGCCATAGCTGGCTTCACAGATATCTATCTATACTCATCTTGGTGTCTGTAGTACCAATTAGTCCTACCCTCTAGCTACCTTGATAAAAATATATTAAGACCACTTCTGATTTAATTACATCACTTCTCATCTGGAAAAATGTATATACATGTATATGCTCAATGCTGTACAACTTTGAAAAAGAAAGTCAAATGATAAGTGCAATTGCTGCCAAAACATTTCAAGGATATATTGTGTTACAAATGTAAAGTCACTGAAACAAACTGTCTGAATTATACTGCCAAGTCTCTCAGTGTATACGTAAGTGCTTATGTATTCTTAAAGGAGAATGGTAGATACTGACAAAGCCTGAACATATGTCGGTCATTAAATACTCATGTTTCAACACAATATGTAAATTCATTTGCTAATATAATGTAAAACCTATTCATTATCACTCTGATCTCTGCAATAGATTATATACTGAGTCAAATTAAAAACTTCACATTTTTAAAAGTAATCCCATATATGATATACAACGAACAAATGTATCAGAGAAGGTAATTTTAATTAACGGTGGTAACCATAATTTGTTCCAAGCACCTACGGTGTTCGGTAATAACATCAAGAGTTTAAATCATAAGTCCCAAGCACGAGAATCTGATGGCACACAAGTTCAGTAGCGTATATGGCCACCATGTGCGTTGACAACTGCCACACAACGCCTCTGCATAGACCTTGTGATGCTTGTGAACACATGATTGGGAAGACGACGCCATTGTTGCTGCAAAATGGTGCCAAGATCTTGCAAATTGTGGCTGGTTCTGGAGAGTGCCCAGACTTCTGCCAAGAGCATCCCTGACGTGAGATTGTGGTCGGGAGACCTTGATGGCAAGTCCATGACGTTGACTCCCGCATTCTGAAGGAAATTCCTTATCAAAATTGCTGTGTGGGGTCTGGCATTGTCGTGTTGGAAGATCAAACAGGGTCCATGTGCTGCCATAAAAGGCAGAAGTACTGGTGCCAGTACCTGGTCGCGGTAAGCAGCAGCGTTGAGGTTGCCACGGATGACAAGAAGCCTGGAACGTGCATTGCCACAGAAAGCACCCAACACAATGACACTTCCACCTCGAAATCTGTCAACTTCCTGTACACAACACTGGGCATAACGTTCATGACGGCGCCTCCACACCCTCGCCCTACCATCAGCAAATCGAAGATTAAATCGGGATTCATCACTGAAGACGACTTGATTCCAATTCCTCTGAGTCAATCGTAAGTGTCGCTGTGCCCACAATTGACGTTGACGTCTGTGTAATTGAGTCAGAATCGGCCTGCAGTATGGCCGTCATGCTTGAAGGTGAGCAGTTCTCAGAGGGTTTCGAACAGTTTGCGCACTCAGTCTA